TAATGCAACCAGTTTTTTTCCTGGGTGTTTTTTTTTTTTTTTTTTTTAATAGCTATAAGCCTCTGACTTGAAGGAGTTGCTTGGGTCCTTGAAATACATGAGATTTTAAACAAATAATTATTGAACAACAAATACTGGAATTCTTGTTTTTACAGTAAAACTATTGCCTGCATGTATTGAACCCTTCACACCTTGGAAATACTTATTTATTTGGATGGATTATAAATTCTATTTTCAGCCTTAATTGTCTTACAAATGCTCACAACATGTTCAAAAAAACATTCCCTTTGAGAATTTTTTTTTTTTTAGTGAACGTCAGCTTACACTGCATGTTCTGAATGCTACATGAACTGTAAACTTGAAGTGGCACTTGAGACAAGAAGGAACTGAGTCTTATGTCTTACATTACTTCTAGCAAAAGCAGAAACATAGTTGGCTTCTTTCAGAGTTGGAGGCTGCTTGATGCTTAGCTTGTATGATCTTGTGTCTTCTTAGTCAAAAATTTTACTGTAAAAATGTGATACTATGTATTTAACTTGCTTTTACTTTTATTACTTGTAGATGATGATGATAGGCATTTGTCTAGACCTTTCTACAATTATCCTCTGATTCAGAGCTACTATACTGATCATCGACAGAAACTTGAGCGTTTATCAAGGTGAGCATTACAGGAAAACTCTAGAGCCCTTCCACTGCAAATTGAGAAGTGGAAGTGAACGACTTTTATAGCAACAGTTGTATCTGCTATGCCTAATGCATTTGCCCGCAATAATCTTGACTTCAGTGGTGTATGTGTTTTGTTGAACACAGAGGTTACTCTCCTGTGTTAAAATGTTTATATGTGCCCCTGCCTAGTACCATTTGTTGGTATAATAATTTTTTGTAGCGTACTTAATTCGTTGTCTAGTCTGTATAATTTGTTACTACTGACAAAGAACATGTGATTAGGACGGGATTAGTCATCTCCATTTCAGCAAAGCACAGCGTCCACAGAACAATTGTTTTGGACACAGAAGAAAGCATGTTTTTTTGGGTTTTTGGGTTTGTTTTTTTTTAAATCTCTCTTATTGACTAGTAATAGATGACAAGAACTGTACTGGCCTAAATCTAGTCACAAGTGCATTTGTGTAATTTAGTAAGACAGTCAGAGTTACATGTAGTTGGCACACCCAGCACTCTGCTGGCTGTTGGGCAGAGGTCACGTCCTAAGGTAAACTCTCTTTTGTTGACTAGCTTACTAGCATATGGATGATATGCCTTGCATTAGATAAGATTAGGTTTTTCTTTGGAAATTGTACTGAAAACTAAATTAAGACCTGAAGAAGCTTAGGCTATGGCACTGTGAACAGGATGCTGCAAGAGTAGTTAAGGTGGGAGCTGCAGTGTATGAGCTATTGACTTCAAAGTTCATGTTCCTTGGCTTACTTCTCACGTAACTTACATACAGGCTCATGTGTTCCTTAGAAGCACACAACCTCTAGTGCACTTTTTCTGCTTTTCCTCATTGGGAACTGAAAGGGTAGCGTTGCAGTCAGCAGAAGGCTGTAAGTTTTAAAAGTTCAGCCATCTGTAATTGTAACAGTATGTTATAGAAACGTGAACACTGTGTCAGAAAATAGTACAATTTACCTGTATACTCAGCTTTCTGAAAAGAACTTTTTTTCAGTAACAACAGTGGGATACTGAGAACAAAATCTGAAATTTCCATCATGTTGTCTCACAGCTGTGTATTGGAACCCTCCAATTTGAGGCATGAGATTAGTGTTAAAGAATAGACCTGCTATTTTGATACTGCTATGTTTCCTCTGTTAGACAGTATGAGAGTGGTTATTTCTGCCACTTGGAGAACTTTCTTTACACTTGCTTTGCACTACAGGTAATAGAACTAAAAAGAAAACCTGTAAACAAAAAGATCGTTGCAGCTTTTTCCTTAATAAGGGAGCTTGTAGGATTTCTGTTTGACTCCTTTAATAATTGAATGTGGTCTAATGAACATCTTTCATCTGACTCAGAAATTTCTTTCCTGTCTATTGCAAGTCATAATCATGCCTTTGTATAATTGTTACTTTCTTTGACTTCTGGGAGTTTTTGTTTTTTGGGTTTTTTTTTTTGAGTGGAGGAAATCTGTTACACTGGGAGGCTGGAACTAGTGTTTCACTCTGTCCAAATCCTTGCTGCCTTTTGTTCCAGAGGAAAATGGGATTCTGAGTGCTTGATGATTGATGGACTGGTTTCCCAGTTAGGAGACCAAGTTGAGAAGTTGTGGCGGAGAGATGAAGGAGGAACTGGGAAATACCCACCTGCTAGTTTACATGTGAGTGTTATGTTCACCGAAAGCAACTACAGTAACACCACCACCCCCCTACAATCCCAGCCAAAAGCCAGGGATCTAAGAAAGACAGGAGTTTTTGAAGAGCTTTTAATTTTTCATTTCAGGCACTGCTGGATCTCTATTTGCTAGAAAGCATTGAAGAAAACTACAAACATGCAATTGTATCCTTTCCAGTTATTTTGATTACACCTTCTGTATATGCACAGAAACATTCTTAAATGTTTGGCACCTACATGTTTAATGACTTTATTTAATTTATGCTTCAAACACAATGCAAGCGAAAACATTTAGTTTAGAATGAAGTTGTAGACAGAAGCATTGTTTTGTTTCTTTGTACTGTGGATTTTTTAAATGTTTTGTTGCCAGGTCTTTTCTGATAAGAGAGAACAGGTTTACTTAGAAATGTTAAAGATAAAAAGCCATTTTAGTTTTTCTTAAAATTTAGACACACTTAATTTTTTTTAAGCCCTCATATCTATTGGTTGCGTCAAATGATTGCTTACTAGAATGATGCACTAAAATGCGCTGCTTCGGAGCAAAAGCATTTCTAACAGTGGCTTGCAAGTACCCGATTTTTGCTCAAATCGTTGATTTTCCAGCACAGCTAACGGTGTGTTCTGTTAGAAGTGCAGGCACACAGAGTCATAAACAGGAGAAAAGTCATTGGGCAGAAACTTAATTTTTAAGCTGCTGAAATACACAGAATTTTTTTTGTTGTTTGCTGTCTAACCCAAGAAGGGAGCCTAGAGAGCAAGGTTTTAAAAACTGTCATATTCCTGAGCTGTCTTATTAAAATAGGTCCCTAAAATTGGCTGTCAGAAAGAAAATGGCACTACCAATGAGTGATCCACATACTGTTTTAAATCTAGTTTTAATCATTCAGAGCTAAGTTGTATTGTAAAGACACCATAATTTCCATTGTCTTATATATTCTGGAAATGAGGGGAAAAAAACAGCTGTAGAATTTGCTTTAATTAAGCATTGGATGTTCAAATGGTTTGAATGTTCAGCTGATAGCTCCACTGACTAAAGAGGGAGTCTGAGTTTGTAGCAGAAGTACTTAAATAGTATGTTTCTCTACATGTAATGTGATAAATTTTTGGTCTTACAAATTTATTAGCCTTAATTAGATGCTTGATATCAGACAATTTACTTGCTGCTAGATGTCATACATTCCTTTCCAAATAAAACAGAAACTTCAATTGACTCCTTCCCAACTGCCTTTGCTATCCCCTGGGGTCTTGTTAAGCTTATTCAAGGTTTTTGGCTTCTAGATCACAATGATTATGAAGTAAGTAACTTACAGTTTATTTAGACATACGTTGCAGTACAAAACTGTGATCTCTAGAATGATTTTTAAGAATTGGTGCTTAGCTAATAACAGGTGCTAAAGCGCTAGAAGCTTTTTTGTGATACTGCTACGACATCTTCAGCAGTAGCTGTGATTTGAAGTTTTCTTGTAGTTGCTTGTCCAGGAAATCGATTAAAACAAAGAAGAAAGCAACTTTAATAATGCTAGATATTTGTATTTTCCAAGCCATCCCTTTAGGTTGTTTTCAGCAGACCAATTGAGCACTTTCTCAAACACAGTGGTTTAGGTACTTTAAATATTAAAACTATGACCATAGCAGCAAGATTTGAGACAGAAGACTGGAAAGGTGACCTTTCAACTCAATTCATGTTCTTTCTGATCCTGAAGTTTGTTCTTTGCCTGTTACAATGTTAATATGATGTGTTTGTCTGGGAGAATAACTTATTCTTTAGTAGTGTATTTATAAAAAGTGGTGATTGTACAGAGATTTTTATTAACTTGGAAAAGTGTGAGTTACTCCTTTTAAAAGACTTACTTTGTTCTGTATGGCTAATGGATTTTTTTTTTTTGTGCAGATGCTTAAGAATTTTTACTGACATGTCCTGTATCAAGTATTTCATTAGTTAGTCACATAAGTTTATTTAACAGACATTCACCCTTACTTAAGAAACTTTTGAATATTTTTGCTGCATGCACGTATGTGTAGAACATACCAACCCTGGTCTTTTAACTCTACAGAATTCACTGGCCCTGCTCTTTCATCCAGCTACAATCAAAACTGTGTCATGGCAACATACAAGAATTATTCAATCCCTCATGTGCCAAGGAGAGCAGAAGCAAGCCCTCAGATACTTACAGATGATGAAGCCATCGATATCAAGCAGTAGTGAAGTGCGGCTCTTTCTCAATGTGTTGTTGTCCAATAGGTAAAGAAATATATCAGACCACTTTGGCATTGAAATATTGTGAAAGGTGGAGAAAAAATAATACAAGACGTGATCCTTAAATTTCCTTTAAACTGTGATTACAAGAATTGTGGGGCATCTTTTTGGTTATCCTATTCCTTTACGTCTTCAAAAAAATTAATTGCAGGTGCATGGTGGAGGCATGGGGTCTGTTGCAGCAACATACCACTAAGTTAAACATAGAAGAGCTGTTAAAACACATGTATGAAATCTGTCAGGACATGGGACTAATGGAAGACTTACTGAAGCTACCTTTCACAGACACTGAACAAGTAAGTCTGGATGAGAATCAAACCTTAATTGCCCCTTTGAAAAGAGAAGAGGCAGAATCATAATAGGTTTTTGAAATGTGTTCTTTCTCATAGGAGTGTTTGGAGAAGTTTTTACAGACCAATGCTGGTGTTCAGAATCATGAATTTCTTTTAGTCCACCATCTGCAGCGTGCCAACTACATCCCAGCACTACAGTTGAATCAGTCAATGAAGGTTAACCTTGTGGTAAGGGTAAAAGTCCTGTCGAGTGCACACATTTCTGTTAGGTGTTACTAACTGGTCTTGGTAGTACTGCATAAAAATCCTGCTTTGTTTTCTATACCATTCTTTGAAATTCTAGGAATAAGTTTCTCCACCTTAAGTTACAGCTGCACCTAGAAGTTGGTCAAAATATTTCAGTACTCCAAAGCTCCTCTGTGAAGTTCTAAATTAAATGTCACAGACCATGGTTGACTCCACTTCACATAGTTTGTTTGCATCTGAGGCATAAATATCAGTCTTTGTCTATCAGCCAATCTTATGATTCCGTTAATCACATATGTCAGTTACGTGTGCTTTAGATTATTGAAAGCGTGCTCTTCCACAACTTTCAAATTACCACTTTGATGACAGAAATTTTTATTTTACTTTCTCAAAATAGCCAGATAAAATCTTGTGCTTCTGTCAGGCGTCTGTGATGCATCTGATGTTTTGTAGAACCACAGTTTTCGAGTGAATTGAATTTAGAAGGTGGTTTTGGAAATGTTAGGTCCTGCATTTGAAAACATTCATTCAGCCAGGAGGTGGGAGGGCATAGGTAGCTTTTTCTTATTCGTTTAAATATTCACACCATTTACTCCAAGGTAACTTGCAGTTGTCCTGTCTACTCAGGGGGAAATTTATTTGCTAATTAGAAATAGCACAGATAGTTCTGTGCAATGAACTTCTTGTCAGTAGTTAACTTTTTGCTTTACGCTTTTCATTCATCAGAATGATCGTCATCCTGGCTTGAGAGAGCGAGCAGTTGCCAGAAATTCTATAGTAGACCATTATGGCAAGACCCTTCCCAGAGTTCAAAGGAAGCTGGCTGCAGAGAGAGCCAAGCCTTACCATTTGCCTTCATCCATCATCAGAGAAGGTAATTGTTAGTGGGGGCCATACAAAGGACAACTGACCATCACTTTGATTTCGCCAGGCTGATAACTTTTTCCCTCTCGCTTTACAGTCACGAGACCAAAACCCTTATCAACAGTAACAAAACAAGGGAATGCAGGAAATGTGCATACAAGAGCAACTTTCATTAGTAATGTATTGTCCAAAATTGGAGAAGTGTGGGTAGGAAATGAGCAGCAAACGAGTTGCTCAGAATACAATAGGTAAGCAGCCTTCTAACAAAGTTTCTTCTCAGCTACATGTTTGAAGAGAGACAGAAGAATCCCTGTGAATTATGTTAGCATTTTGGAGAGAAGGTGCACCTGAATAAGGCTTTTTTGGCTTTTTTGCACATACAATCTATAATACTTAATACATCATAAGCAATATTTGGATTGAGAGTATTAGGATGTTATTTATGCAAATACATGTTTGTGGTAAATGTGTTTACAGAATTGGTGTATGGATTTTGACAGACATGATTTTGTGATCAAATAGTAAACTTCTACAACTTCCTGCCTGGTTTCTCCCTTGTTTCTGTTGTGGTTTTTTTAAACTTAAGAATAAGCAGAATTATAAAGAGTG